CAAACATAACAAAAGAGAATAAAACCCAACATAACAAAACACTGAACATAGAATTTCCAGGTGGGGATCGCTTCCTCGTGAGGTCTTGTTCTCTCCCTCTGCAGTCTGTGAGTGGTGCTGACTCATGGAGGGAGGTTTGGGTCTGGCTGTCCCCACTCCAACAGCAGTAGCCTCTCTTCAAGCATCCTTGACCAGAATGGTATAATCAGTGTCTAAGTCTATCACTGGAAAGGAGCAAAGGGTGACATGGCTGGCTTGGACCAAAGAAGATGGAAGCATGCCAGCCCCTGGAAGCACGTAGTCTTGTAAAAAACAGTGGATCCCAATTTGCTGCAGAAGCCAGAAGTCTAGATAAGCATTACCTGGACTGCCAGGATGAGGATGGCAGTGCAGTCTGGAGTTACCCTGGGAGAAATTAAGAAGGCTCTGGAGAAATCAATGCACCAAGAGAAGACTTGATGGCTGCTGGGGGGTCTTCGCCACCAATAACAGCCCCTGCTACCACTCCCTTGGTCCAGTGAGCATACACAGCTCACTGGATGGATGTACCCTTGAAAGAACTAATGAGTTGCAGTAAAAACATCTACCTAGCAGCTAAGAAGAAGAGCATGGCTTTTTTTCCCAGTTGTTTATATACATTTTTAAAGAGCTTGCTATCAGGTAAAGAAGAGTGGCAGCAGTACTGTGTCTGACAGGAAGGTCCGGGACTGATGGTTCATGCTGCTGCAGTCACAGGGGGCCAGACAGGAGATTGTCTGGATATAGCAATCACACCTCCAAAGTCAGAAATCACCTTCATCAGAGCATATGAGGCCATATTACATTTATTTCCTATTCTTTCCATTTATTTTTAACTAGTTTATATAAAATAACTTCTTTTTTCCTGATTATTGCCATGGAAGATTTAAACAAATTGTAAACATTCATTTAGGGTTATTTTTGACTAGGCCATGGCTCTGAGTATTAATAGAAGGTCCATATTATTTCAAGCCATTCTGAAAAATGGGGAGAAAAGTAATCCAAGCATTCGTACAAAATCGTATCGTGAAACATATGTGAACACTTTTAAAAAACAATGGGTCTCTAACTTTCATTAAAACTTGTTTATAGGAAATCTCTGAAGTCTAAAATGAAGGAGGGCCCTCCAGAAAGGGTTTATAATTTTCACTGGCAGAGCCTGGAGAAACTACCAAGCCATTATTAAATAGAACTCATAGTTCACTGAGACTAAAGGTTCAAATCTCCACAATTGCCTTCCATTACCATCCCTTGGATAAGAATGTCTAGAGACTACTCCATCTCCACATTCTCTTTCTCAGGCGCATTAAAGCTACATTTTCCACAGCCCCTGTGATGGCAGTGGTGGAGAGGATCAAGCTTTAATTTTTCTTAAACTGCTAGTATAAACTTTGAGTGGTGCTAAAATTTGGATCCTGAATGACTCTCAAAGGTTTGGTCCTGTAGGTGGTACCAGTGGAAGATGATGGACCCTAAAGAGGTAGGATCTAGTGAGGGTTCTTTTGGTACACCCCAAACAGCATCTTGAGACCCTGGCTCCTTCCTCATTTCTTTTTTGCTTCTTGGCTGGTAATGAGGGGAAGGATTTTTGTTCAGCTATGCACTGTCTTGCCACACGCCACAAGCAACAGGAGTAACTGAACACAGACTGGAACTTCCATGACAGGGAGCCTAAATAAGCATCTTCTCTTTACAAGCTGATTATAGCATATATTTTGTTGCAGTGACAGAAAGCTGTCAGAGGAATCCACTTGCCAAGCTGCCCTTCTGAAACAATTATCAGACTGGGGGAGTTCTTTGGGGCTTTTGGTCAATACCACGTTAATTTGGAAACAGGGGAAGCTACAGAGCATGCTGAAGGGGAGAATCAAAGAGGTGCTTAAGTGCTTCTGGGTCTAGGCATGAGTACCCACCCCACTGATAGACCTCACCACTACAGGGGAACTTGAAAATTTTTTAAGAAAGGCAGTATAAAACACCAGGTAGTGGGAAAAGTCTCTCTTTGCCCAGATCTAAGGGCAGTATTGGTGAAAATTTGTGTATAATAAATTGTTAAGCGTTAAGGTAATATTACTGCTCAAGAAGTGACTTTGTTTTCATTTTTGAGCCAGGGTCATGCTATGTAGTTTAGGCTGTCTCTAAACTCACTTATTTAGCCCAGGCTGGCCTTCAAGTCCTGGTGACCCTCCTGCCTCAGCCTCTCCAGTACTGGGATTACAGGGGTGCACCACCATGCCCAGTTCAGGAAATGATTGTTTTCGCCAGGAGCTGAAATTCTCTGAAAAGGTGTGGGGTGACCTGGAGCTCTGAGTGTGGCAGCTGCTCAGGGTAATCAGTGAAACAAAGTGATGACACAAGAGTCAAAGCCATAGGATCTAGGCAGAAGGAATGGAGAACATTCTGGAGGCAGCAATGAGGAACAAGAAGGATACCATCTTCCTTCCTGTAGACAGCATGACACAAGCAAGACCTGGGGAAAAATAAAACAGTCATCACCTGGAAGAAGCCTATTAAAGGGGAAGCATGACCAACAATTATTCTTTGCCCCCTATATACTTGGCACTGAGCTTCTTGCGTATACTACCACAGCATCTGAACTCAGTAAAAACTATTTTTAACAAAACCCTTTGCAGATGTGAACACAGATCGTTGATGCTCCTCAGGATGGCTTGCTTTCTAGCACCGCACAAAGACCCTACATTAAGTAATGAAATTCTTGATTTATAGGAATTTAACAGATCTAGGGGACTGAGACTCTGACAGGCAGGGATACAGCCTCACTGTGGTCAGCTCCTAGAAGACAAGTGCTTGACCCAGTGAGGCCTGGGGCCAGCCTAAAGTACCAGGCAGAACCCTAGAATCAGCGTCATTTTCAAAGACCAGGATATCAATCATCATGAAAAGATGTATCCTGTGTCCCAAAGACACAACGTTAAAAAGTGTTTCACGACTCAACGTGGTGTTAAATTAGACAAATTCCTGCAAGCATACAAGGAGGAATCTTTCTCTGAGCTGCAAAAATCCAGGATTTGAAAATGTGTGTGCTCTTTTAAATATCTTTCATAGCACAAGAGATTGGTTTCAAGATGAGCAGTGCAGAGAGCATGTTGATCATTTTAAGGTTTGTTTCATGGGTTTCTACACTTCTGTAGTTTGAGGAATTATTGCATTATTCTGTGACATTTGGGAGGGCAATGCTCAAGAGGGTATCCATTTGGGACCTGGATGAATTACCAGCACAGTTTACAGTAGGGAGCTCAAAATTTCATGTATGGTATATGGGAACTTCAGATAAGGTCTATGATTTTTCTATTTCACAATTTTATTTCCAATGCTGCATTCATAGGCATGTATTCCTTTACAGTCACAACACAATTACGGCAGCTTAAATAGTTATTTAATGTATTACATAGGTCCACAAGAGGACAAATCAACGAAGTGTGAGTATGTTAACCAATTTTCATGCTGCTAGACCACCTGGTATACAGGGTAGCAAACTGCAAAGCCTTCAACCAAGCAAAAGCCAGGCAAGCTTTTATAGACCACCTAGAATCAGATGCACAACAGGACACTAGGCTCCTACAGAGTCCCAGGAAGCCTGCACCGCCTTACCCTGGAGGGAAGGCAAGTGGCTAAGGTTCGTCTCCATTTTCTCCTCCTCACAGCAACCTGTTTGATGGTACAAATCCAGCCCATAAGTTGAAGCCCCAGCACCAGACAGATTTGGGCGGACCACACCGTCCCTACCAGTTTGTCTGGGTAAGAGTACCCACCCCACCCTCCCCAGGAGCAGTGTGGCTCTCTCCTTCCGCACATTATGTGGAACGCTTATATTTACATCCACACAATAACCTATTTACCCATCCATTTCTCATCTAGACACATTCGCACAGATGAAACGCACCGGCCAGGAGATGGTGCGATGGTGCCTATGAGTTCCAGCCACTGCAGCCCACGTGGGGCTGCGCTTTGTCTCACTGGGTCACCACCATCATAAGAGTGATGACTGCGGGGAAAGCGCGCGCCTGTGTCGCCACTTCCCACCCTACATGGGCTCCTTGTGCTCGCCGAGCCGGCAGAGTTTGAGCCTTTCAGATGCCCACTTCCCTCAGCGTCTGGGTGGTAGGTCCCCAAGGTGGCCGCCCCGGGGGAAGGAGACTCCCTCCAGAATCCGCGGGGCAGAGCCCCCGGGCTTGGCTGTGGCCTTGGGCAGGTGAGTTTCAGTCTTCCAGCCCCACGCTGTGCGCTATGAACACAGAGGCTCGAGCTGGGTCCCTACTGAGTCAGAGAAGAGCTATTCCTGAGGACAGAAGCACGATTCTTGTGGCTTTTTTTTTTTCTTTTTAATTCAGTGATTTCCTCCTAAGCGGTCATTATGAATGTGGGTAACTCAAGCTGCCTGGCCTTGCCGGCTATTGGGTAGGTCCCAGACCCCCAGGGAAGTTTCATCTGCTCCTGCTGCGCCCCAAGTTCTTTTTCTGCTTGCATGCTGACTGGGGTTGGAGGAAAGATCTGCCAAGTTCCTCCTGGCAACCTCCTGAAAACCAAGTCAAAGTTAACAAGTCAGTCTGGGGCCCACAAAGGGGTGGCAAGACTGCCTTCCTTGGGCCCGCGGGACCACCCTCTGCGCCGCGATGCGCGCGACGCAGTCACATTCCCTGACTCACGAATAGAGCCCCTCTCCTTACCCAGCTACAAACTAGGTGCCCTGTCTTTCCCCAAATTACAGCCACTCCGAGGTGGCCCTGCAATCCTCCCAGCCCCTTCGGGTAGCACACGACCTAGGCACCCGGACCTCCCCCATTTCTCATCCGCGCGGCCGGCAGCCGCCGCCCTCCGCCCCCGCGCGCCGTGACACCCTCTTGCGCAGCGCGTGTACTCCCGCCACGCCGCGCCCGGCACTGCAGCACTGGGGGAGGAGGCAGGCGGCGGCGGAGGCGGAGGCGGAGGACCGCAGCGTGCGAGCCCGGAGCCACTTTCCCGCCCCTCCTCTTGTCGCCGACAGGCTCGGAGGAGTCACCACTCCGCGCGCCGCAGGAGAGAGTGGCAGGCGGAGGTGACCGGGGAAGGGAGTCAGAGCGGCGACCAGCGGTTGACACCGCTCTGATTGGAGGGGTCTCCAGCAGCTGGAGCGGTGAGTGAAGGGTCCCCAGTGGCGGGGGCGGTGGTAGCGCGGGGAGTCTTTGAGCTCCGATGGATTTGCCTTCGGGATGCGGAGCTGTACGCTGCAGCTGGGGAACTTTTGCAGCCTAGCAGAAGAGCAACTTTGCCCCTCTTGGTGCGAGGAAAGCAGTTGCAGGTACTGGGGGCTGCCGGAGAATGGGAGCTCGAAAGTCGGGGGTAAAGCAGTTGGAGGGACCCCGGGTTCGCCAAGGGCCGGTACAGAAACGAGGGCGCACCAGCAGGAATTCCTAGGGCATGCGGGGGCTGCAAACTGCAAGGCTTTCCCTGCTCCTTTATTGGGTCTGGGGATTCGCTGGGCTAAGGGGCCCCGATTCCACACGAGCAGCCCAGCCCTCTGGCGGGGCGCGGGCTCTGAATGCGCGCTGCAGCCGTGGGCTCAACTTTTCGGCGGGGATCCCTCTGCAGACGTGCGGGTGGCGGGAGGGTAAGAGCAGCCGCAGCGCGTGCCGCGAGAGCCTGAAAAGAACACCGTGAATTTTCTAACTCTTGCTGGTAAATCCCCAAAGCCCGGGTCTCCAGGATCAGGAGAGCGCGAGAAGCCTGGAAAGCGGGGAAACCCGCGGGGCCACGCTCTTTGCAGGAGTCTGCGCCTCACTACACCTCGCCCTTCCTTCGGCCAAAGCCGGGTGGGCGCCTACTGTGCGCGGAGGCGAAGGAGGGCCAGGCGTGTTCAGCTCAGGACGGGACAAGGACCCCGCCATCCGGGTAGATAAACGACCGAGGGAACCATGGCGGGGCGTGGAGGTAGTAAGCCAGCCCCGTTCCGCGCGGTCTTTCCTCCGCCGCCCCGGGCTCGGTCCCCGGGAATACTCTTCTGCGCGTCTCAGGGATGTCTCTGGCTGGGCCCCGGGGGTACTGCTGAATATGGGGATCAACTTGGCCAGGAGCAGCAGGCAGCCCGCCGCGGACGGGCGATGTGGAGCGTTTGCGTGGGCGTGCGGGAACCTGGGTGCCGCGCGCAGGAGTGGAGGGGGAGGAGCTGAGTCACTGAGACTCGAGGTGCCGCCTAGACGGCTGGGCGGGGAGCGCTCGCGTCACCCGCTACGTGCGCCAGTGATGCAAGCGCAGCCCCGCGAGGGGCGGGCGCGGGGGTGGGGCGCGGGCGTCAGAGGCGCACGGCTGATGGATGGCCCCGGTTGCCTGCGGCGACCCGGGCACGGCTGGGGAGGGCACACTGCGGCGGTCGGCCAGGAAAGCCCCGCAGGCCCGCGCTACTGTGGGCGGGCTGCGACTCCGCAGTGCCGCAGTGCCGGGAGGGCGCCGCAGCCACCAGGCGCTCCCCGGGGACCCAAGAGACGGTAGTCTTTGAGGGCGCCACGACAGGGATGCCCCGTGATCGCTTCTCTTCGGGCTCGCTCCCTTCACACCTAATGGATTGGCAGCGCGAGAAAGTAGTTTCAGCTTAATTCTCCTTAATGTAGGAGGAGAAAGGCGCGCCGATCTCTCCAGAATCCACTGGTTTTTCAGTAGCAAGTTCCAGGAGACCTCGTGCTCCGGGCAAGTTTTCATATGAATGCTCTCGCGTTGAGGTTCTTCAGATTGTGTTGTGCCAATGCGCCCCCTCACCGTTCTTCAGGATTTGGGGCTGAAGGCCTCTCAGTCGTGTTCGAGAATGACTTAGAAAAAGATGAGCCGCAGCTGTTTTTTATAACATAAGCGAATGTTAAACCGCTACCGAGTCTGCACTGTCTGATGGAAAAATAAACCCGATCCAGCTTCCGTTCCTCTTTTTAAAGCCACTTTGTGGAAAGTCAGCGACAGAGGTCTTTCTGTTGGCTTCACTGAATGAGCCCAGATCCGTAGTCTTGGGCAGAGGAGTGGAAAGGGGTGAGGAAGGGGATAAGAAAGAGAAGAAATCCAGAAAAAAGATCCTGCTTCCTAGACCCCCAGTATTTTTTCATTCCACCCTGGGCGAGTTCCCGTTCCTGTCCGTGTCGCACCATTGAGAAATCTGAAAGGTGCCCCTTCCACCCCTTAGTGACGTTGCAGCGCTGTGCTGAGGCCAAAACAGAGGGTCTTGGAGAGCTTTGGAAATACAGTCTCTGTGAATGGAAAATACCACGAAATAGGTCGCTTTAAGGCACAAGAAAACAATTTCACCTTTAATTACGAAGGTTTTCCTCAGCACTGCTCCTTTAATGGTCGACAAATGTCGATGATGGACTTTTCCTGACACTAATATAAAATCAAATGCCATTAGCTGATGTCTGGAGGGGGGAAAAAACCAGCAGATCACATCTGAGTATTTTTGGTGATGTAGTGGACAAATCAAATTTATTTTTCATGACTCACTGACAATGAAAATAGCTCTCTGCTCTGAGCAACAGACTAAGCTAAGAGCTTTTAGGTGAAAATTCTGCTTATTACCCCTGTCATATTCCCTAAGTGTGGAAGAGAACGGGATGTAATGCTCCACCTCAAGGAGATGACGGAAAGCTCCACGTGCAATGTATCATGTGGTGGCAAGCGCCAGAAAACCCATTTCTTATCATTTGAAACAGCAGCTCTTATTCACAAACCGGACCATATGTTTTATGAATAAAAAACCAATAATCCTTCTTATAGCTCTTTCTGTTGCTACTCGTCTTCCCATTCAAGGTAAATTTCTGTGGCTGTGGAAGTGAAAACGCCATGTCTAGTCCGCGCAGCTCTGCGCTGGAGCTGCAGGGCCCCAGTGGACTTCTTGGTTCTAGGTGACCAAGGTTTCTGTTAAACTGGGTTTCAGATCACACATGTCATTAGCTGCTTCCACCGAAAGTCATCATTTAGGTCTGCTGTAACCCAGTGAGAGACAGCTGCAGCTGCATGAGCTTGTGTGTACACTGCTAGTTGGTTTGGTTGGTGTTTTGCTCTTTTTAATCTCTTCACAGTTGAACCAGTGGTGTGAAATGTTGAAGTAGACTGAATCAGGAGCCTCTTTCTTTGAGACAGCTAAGAAAGACAGTGGGATGGAGCCACTACGTTGTCTTTCTAAAAATAGGTCTTTATAGGACATAAGGACACCATTTAATTTGATCACAAGCAGTCTTGGAACCCAGGCTAGTCAGCTGTGGTTTCATCACACGGCTTCTACTGTCGTGACTAACCAGAATGGAGCAGATTAGATGGCTTGGTCACTTCCAGTTCTAATATTCTTTCACTCCAGAAAAGGGAGAGATATATGATGAGTTATATTTTAAATTCGAACTTGGTTTAGACATATAAAAAGTATTTTTTATTAACTCATATTGAAATTTTCCACAGAGTTGTAGGCTCTGTTTTTGCAGATGGCTTGTTAGATTTTGTATTGTGTCATTAGGAGTATGAATAATATAAATTCTAATTAAAGCAGTTTTCAAAACTTGAAATTTTCATATATTTTTAGACTTTATGAAGTAAGACATTTTTAAAAGGCCAAATCTGAAAAAATATTTCAGTATACCATAAAGCCAATTAGCATGATATTGTAAATGTTTTCAATTGAATAAAATACAGTGGATTTGCTCTACCACTAGACAGTATGTGACGTGGGTGGTTAGGAATGGACACTATGATGATGAGCTTCGGGCTTCTGAAATCTCCGGGCCGCTGAACAGTTCAAGAGCATACAATTATGGCAAATCAGACCAAGTGCCTTCCCTTGTCATATACAGCTATTTGAAAACCCTATGAAGCAGCATCCTAGAATAGCCAAATAAAGTAGTAACTCTCAGTCATGTGTAATCACACGTCCCAGGGAGCTTTTTCAGAGCCCCATCCTACACATTCAAGTTAATGGTTTCACAGTTGGGCCCGGAAGAGGCCCTTTATCAAGCTCTTCCAAGCAGATTGGATGCTATCTTACAGGGCCACCCCAGCAGGAATACTTGAACCAAATAACAATATAAAACCCAGAACATGTGAACTTTCTAAACTATGTTTTCTGTTTAGTATTTATCAAGGAGGAAATCATATTCTAGCTGAAAGATAAATCTAAAGATGAGTAACTCCTTTGGTAAATATCAGAAGGTAAGGTAGGGAAGATGTCTTAGTATTTCATCAAAGAAGGTAAAGACACAGAGGAAATGTTTTAGTGATGAGTTACTACTAAGGGATAAACATTGAAACCTTAGCATGGTTTTCCAGGCCGTGGTCACTGCTGTGGCCTCGTTTTGCATAACCCCAAGCCACTTCCCTACCTGCTGCCCCCAAATGTCAGCCTTCACTCTTCTGTCCCACACCCCTTCCAGTCTATTGGCTCCTAATATTCTTCATATCTTGGTCCGATTTTTCTTTTCTGGAGAAGACACCAAATCTCTGTTGTGAGGTTTAGGTTACCTCTTCTGGAAAACAGTACTTTTTCATTTCATGTTTTCAGAGAAAATACAGTACAATCAGCTTACTTTGAATTAAGATAAACAATAAAACATTTTTAGTATAGGAGGTGTGACTGAAAAATACAGTGAGTGTTTATATTTTTAAAATTTATTACAGGGAAGGACACACTGCCACTAATCCCGTGGAGAACACTCCCCTTCACTTCCAGCACACTCGTCCCATGTTCTTACCACTCTGAAGCAGCTCTGAAAGTCCTCTTCATTTCCTTAGTCATGGCTGCCTTGGTGTCCTGAATCAACTCACAGTGTCTCTCTTTCTTGGTCATCATGACTTTAGCGAAGAGCCCAAGGTCACATGATGCCAGATCTGGTGAATAAGGTGGATGGGGGCACAGTCTAATGTGTTACGAGCCTGCTTTCCCACTGGATGGCACTCAGCAGCAGCACTCAGTGTATTATTGATCCCACTCATGTCGACACTCGCAAAAGAGGACTACAGAGCTGCTTCAGAAAGCGACGAGAATGATTTGAAGAGGATTAACGGCAATATGTCCTTTACTGTAGTGATTTTTAAAAATTCAAACCTTCAAGTGTATATTTTGATCACATTTGTAACTGTGCCCCAAGTGTTGCATGGAACCTTATCTTTGTGCCT